CCTACAGCCAAGATTATGCTTAATGGTGAAAAGCTAAAGCCATTTCCTCTAAATTCAGGAATGAGACAAGGATATCCACTCTTTCCACTTCTCTTCAACTTAGCATTAGAATGCCTGGTTAAAGCAGTAAGACAAGATGCAAATAAAGGGGATCCAAATAGGGAAAGTTGAAGTAAAACTCTCCCTCTGCATGGACTTCACTCCCAAGTTACTCTGCAACTTTTGCAAAGTAGCAGGGTATAAAATTAACCCTCAAAAATCAATGACTTTTCTGTATGCCAACAATGAGAAGAGCTTGGATGAAATCAAGAAAGAAAGTCTTTTGTAATAGCCCCACCAAAAAAATACTTAGGAGTTAACTAAAGACGTGAAGTACCTCTATAGTGAAAACTTTTAAAACCTGAAAAAGGAAATTAAAACAGAACTAAAGAAGTGGAAAAACCTCCCATGCTCTTGGATTGGGAGGATTAACATTGTGAAACTGGCAATACTGCTAAATGTTATCTACAAATTCCAGGTGATACATATCAGTATCAAAACCTCATTCTTCAATGAAATAGAAGAAGCAATCCAAAAATTCATAGGAACAATAAAAGACCCCAAATAGCAAAAACAATCCTAAGTATAAATAACAGTGCTGGAGTAATGTCAATACCAAACTTTAAACTATAGCACAAAACCATAGAAATCAAAATATCTTGATACCGGCACAAGAACAGACTTGAGGACCAATGGAATAGAACTGAAGACCCAGAAATGAACCGATAGACTTATAGCAACCTAATCTTCAGTAAGGGAGTTTAAAAAAATAGAACGGAAGAAAGACAGCCTCTTCAGTAAATGGTGCTGGCAAAATTGGTTAATCACCTGTAGAAAACTAAAGCTAGATCTTTATAGATCACCCTGCATCAGAATCAATTCTAAATGGATCAAAGACCTAGAAGTAAAAGCAGACACCCTGCAAATATTACAGGAAGGAACAAGAGAAACCCTAGATCTCCTTGGCACAAGCCAAAATTTTCTTAATAAAGACCCAGAAGCAAAGAAAGGTTGGACAAATGGGATTGCATGAAACTGCAGAGCTTCTGCATGGCAAAGGACATAGCTAGCAAGATCAATATAAAGCCCACACATTGGGAGGAGATCTTCACTAGCCATACAACAGAAAAGGGTCTCATATCTAAAATATACTTAGAACTCAAAAAATTAAATCCTCCAACAAATCCTTAAAGAAACAACTGTCCGATTAGTAAGTGGGCTAAAGACTTAAAGAGACTTCTCTGAAGAGAAAATAAGAATGGCCAATAGCCACATGAAGAAATGCTCAGCTTCTCTAACCATAAAAGAAATGCAAATCAAAACAACATTGAGATTCGACCTCACCCCAGTTAGAATTGCTATAATCAAGAAATCTAGTAACAACAGATGCTGGAGGGGATGTGACCAAAAGGGAATCCTCCTGACTTGTTGGTGGGAGTGTAAACTTGTTCAACAACTTTGGAAAGCAATATGGAGGTTCCTCCAAAGACTAGACATTTGCCCAAACGATCACACACAAAGCCATACTAAAGCTATCAGCACAACTATGCTTATCACAGCACTATTTACCATAGCTAAGATAAGGAACCAAACCAGATGCCCCTCAGTAGATGAATAAGAAAAAGTAATATATGTATATGTATATATATATAGAGAGAGAGAGAGAGAGAGAGAGAGAGAGAGAGGAATTCTATGCCTCCAGCAGAAAGGATGACACCACCCCATTTTTTAGGAAATGGAAAGGCTTGGAAAAATGTATACTAAGTAAAGTAGGCCAGGCCCAAAGAAACATAAGTCCCATGGTTTCCCTTATTTGTAATAACTAGTACATGTCTAGGACAAGCAGATGAGGTCAAAAGCTATGTATATATGACCATATATGATGACTTCAGTTAAATGAGCCCCAAGATAGGGACCACAGATATCTTTTTTTTTCTTGCTTGCTATTGTTTCTAACATTTATAATGTACCATGTGATTTTTTTGTTTCATTGTATGTTCCTCCCCCATGGTATAACCGCTGTTTTCACTGTATTTGATGTCGGTGTCCTGCATCTTGTATATACATTTCTCTAATTTGGGGAGGGGAAGGGAAAAAACAAAATGCTTAAATAAAGATACAGGTTGACCTATTGTAACAATGAAATGTATAAGACACTATGTTGAAAATGAACTTTACAACTTTGGGGAGCAGGTAGTTGTGGAGGTGGGAGGGAAGGAATGGTAGGGGGAAAACCAAGGAGGAGGCAGCAATAATTATCAATAGGAAATACACTCATTACCTTGCTCACGTAACTGCAACCCCTCTGTACAGCAATTTTACAATTAAAAAAAACACTAAAAAATGATGATGCTAAATTAAATGAACCCCAAGATAGGAACACAAGAGGTTTTATCTTTCTTGCTGGTGTTTTTAATGTACTGTGTGATTTTCTTGCTTCTTTTGTATATTTTGCCCCCATAGTATAACCCCTGTTTTCACTGTATTTGATTCTGGTGGCCTGAATCTTGTATATACATTTTTCAAATTTGGGGAGAGGAAGGGAAATAACAAAATGCTGAAATAATGATACAGGTTGACCCATTGTAACAATGAGATGTACAAGACACTGTGTTGAAAAAGATCTTTACAGCTTTGGTTCGGGAGGAGAGGGTGGCAAGTGTTGGGGAGGTGGGGAGGGAAGGGATGATAGTGGAAAAAGAAGGAGGAACAATGCTCCATAGAAAATGTACTCATTACTTTACTCATGTAACTGTAACCCCTTTGTATATTATCTTTATAATAAAATATTTTAAAAATTTAAAAAGGAGAAGAAATGAAATATGTATAATCAAAAGGCTAGAATTAACAATCAGTGTTTCCCTCCTCCTCCAAGGGATTCTTCTCTTTATAGATTTTTTCAACTTAATCTTTAAACAATATTTTAAATGAGGTTTAACTTCAAATGAATTTCAGGATCAAAGTCATATGTATTTTTAGTAATGCAGCTGCTTGATAAAGAGATGATCATGAGTGTGTGTAGTATATGTGATTCATTATACTGTCTTTTATTGTAACAAGATTTGAATATGTTAACAGTATATGACAGAATGATGGATAATGCATTCACTTCTTTCCTGAGTTATCAAATACATACATATATATGTATAGACATATATATGTCATAACTCATAATTCTCCATTTGGAACTCAACTTATCAAATATTGGAATCATTTCCAGACGCTTTTATGATTTATTCAGTGAAAATAAGAAATAGAATGCTGAAATGGTTTAAAAATTATGTAAGTATAAGAGGTAGTCAGTGTAACTCTTCTCCAAAAGTTTAGGGCATCCTCACCAGGCTAGAGTTGTTGTAGACTTGGGCAGTAGCATTGAAATGAAGCGCCATTTGTGAACTAGTACTGAAATGCTTTTGAGTCTCCACCATAGAGCACCTAATATCTTTTGATGCTTGATGGAGCTATACAACTGTGCTTCCTCCATTTCCTTCAATGGCAGCAGGCCTGGTCTGAGTTAGAGAGGCCATAGCCCCTTTACAGTTTACCATACCACCACACTACCTTACTTTTTTGCTTTTCTAACTTGTCCTTAGAAATCTAGAAACTTGGAAAACACATCTAATGAGCCTGTAGGATTTCTTAGCAGACAAAGACATGACTCAGAAGAGGTTATAACTTTGTTGACTCACAAATAAAATTGAAGCTTAATTAGAGTTTTTACTTGTCAATTAAAGAAGGCTGAAACCTAAGGCTAGGCAATGGGAAAATGATAACCAACTGATTGCACAAGTGACTTTTCAGAAGAAAGAACTAAATAAGGAAGCTGTTTTAACAGCAAGCAGTCAAAACAAATTCTTTTGCTTTACTTCTGAGTCTGTGCTGTAAAAGTTCTGCCCTGTGCCACTGAAGTGGCTTCCCCAGACAGCTTCTGTTTCCAGCTGTCTAATTTCTGAACTGTTGATTGCACAAATAAACTCTTTAAAAAAGTATATTGTGGGATAAGCATGGCAGTGAATACCTGTAATCCTGACTACTCAGGAGGCAGGGCTAAGGGGATATAGGTTGAAGCCTAGCCCAGGCAAAAGTACAAGAAACTAAAGCACAAAGGGCCAGTGGTATCATTCAATGCTATAGCACTAACTTAGTACATATAACATCCTGATTTCAAACCCTTGTAACCACAGTTAACACTGTAGTATTCCTTAAGTTACCTTTTAACACATGAAAAATTAATAGTTGAAGAGACCACACCATGTAGTAACTAGGCATTCCTATTCAGATTTACTTTCAAAGAAAATAGAAATTAGTCGTCTCATCATAGAAACTAAGAACAAAACACAAATGCCAATCATCATTGCATTTCTATCCACCATACTTAATTGAGCATTGTAATTTCTTAATAAAAGAAAGCCAATCACAAATGCAGGTAGAATTCAGCTTAGCCTAGAGTTCTGCCACTTCTTTGTTTTTTTTTTTAAATTTTATTTTATTTGTGAACATACTGTACAGAGGAGTTACAATTACATGGGACGGATAATGCATACATTTCTTACCAAGCATTGCAGCCTCCTCCTTTGTTTACCCTTCACATCCCTTCCTAGCCTCCCCCCTCCCCCCCAATCCCAATCCTTCTCCTTCCCCCCCTTCCCCCCCCAATTTTGGACATGACAACTTGTACTTCTCATTGTTGCAACAGGTCCACCTGTATCCTTAAACAACTGGTTTTTCCCCATCTCCTCCACAAGTTATACTGACATCAAATATAGTGAAAGCAGGGGTTATACTGTGCCACTTCTTTGTTAATAAGAGAATGTCTGTTTGCCTCAAAGAGTTTTTGAAAAAGTGAAATAAATATCTCCATTGAGCTCCCTCTTTCCTATACATGTAAAAAAACATATTAAGAGCTCTAGAAAGTAAGAGAAAATGAAATGCTTTTCTTAACCAACAACTTACAGCTTAGCTTGCTTTTCTGTTTTGCAAGAAATGCATCTCTGGATGGTGGATTGATTAACTCCATAGACTCCAAGCCATGTAAATGTTCCTCCCACTGAGATTGTCCAAAACGTGTGTCGTCGGAGAGGATCCACATCAAAACTATGAGACAGAAAGAAGTTGATTTTTTAATGTACTATGTGAATTTTCGTTTCTTTTGTATGTTCTTCCCCTTATGGTATATCTCCTGTTGTCACTGTTTTTGATTTTTGTACCCTGCATCTTGTGTATACATTTATCTAATTTGAGGCAGGGAAGGGGAATAACAAAATGCTGAAACAAGGACACAAGATGACCCATTGTAACAATGATACTCACAAGACACTATATTGGAAATGAACTTTACAACTTTGAGTGGGAGGAGCTGTTGGGGAGATGGGGAGGGAAGGGATAGTAGAGAGAAACAAAGTAGGGGTAACAATCTTTGACAAGAAATGTACTTATCACCTTACTTATCACCTTACCTAACCCCTCTGTACAGCATCTTTACAATAAAATAAAATTACAAAAAGGAAAAAAGAGATAGAACAAAAACACTCTGTTAGCACCTCGATAGCACTTTTAGTTGATGAAGGCATGCATTTACATCTTTATAAAGCATGAAAAATTAACAATGGACGTACTCAAACAAGTGGAGTCGGGATCCATTTTTGGCTTGCTCCCATACATTGTGGAACCCACCAGCCTTCGCTGATCCTTGAATGAGAACCGATAAGAAGCCCCCAATCATGACGACCATCTGAAAGGCATCGGTCCATACCACCGCTTTCAATCCTCCCTGAAATGGAGCAAACGCTGAGAAGTCTCCAATGAGGCCTGCGATCCTTCTAGCTGCAGACTGTTTTCCAACTAAAGATATTATCCACTCACTATTCAGTTAGAATTACTGAGCTGTTATATGTCAACTGAGGTGCTGAACTTGGGGATAACATGGTAAATGCAGAGAGAAGTACCTAACAACTTTGCTGAGTTTACAATCTAATGGGAGAAGGTGATTATCAGGTAGTAAGACGATTACATTAAATTGTGAAAAGTGTGATGAGTGTTACTGAGAGGACATGGTCTTAAGAAGTGAATATTTAGCTAATTCCAAAGGACGAATAGCGATTTTCCATACACAGAGAACCAAGAGAGGGTTCGGACAGGATGGGTGAAGGCAGGAAATGAAAGAAAACTGTTAGAGACCAATCAAAAGTGTGTGTAACAGAAAGGAGAGATTGATACATTTTCTAGAGGTCAGTTAGATCATAATAATGTGACTAAAACAATTTCCCCAGAACTAAATGAGTTAGATGATGAGAGGAACCTTTTGTTTGTTTGTTTCACAGATGTTCTGTTGTGTGGATAATTAATTAGTAAGGATGTGGAAACTTTATTCCAACCACTTATGCCCAGGAAGATCAACAGATTGAAACAGAGCTAGAAAGAAGTTGATGGAGTTGACACAAATCCAAAGAGAAAAAAAATCAAAACAACTCATCCTTCATTAAATACAAGCAGTAAGGTGAGAAGGAAATTAAGGATAGTTAACATGAGTCTAATGAGATGCTTTGAGACCAGTGACAATGAATACATTTTCAGAACCAGAGAAAGCTGAAAATAAGAAAAAAACTAGGAAGAAAGGTTCCATCTAGATATTCATGGAGAAATGAGATTTAATAGCTGCCAGATGGTCAAATGACCAGAGCTTCAAGAAAATGAATCTAGCAGTAGAAATCAGGACATAGTGAAAACACACAAGTTTCAAGCAATAGTTACAACACTACTACTCTTTTTCACTGAGAAGCTTAAAAAAAATCTACAAGTCCATCTTATGGTAGGAAATAGGATCCCTTGAAATCAACACCAGTTCTCCTAATGTCAAATTCTAGTTTAGAGCACCAGGGCCAAAGGAAAGAAGAAACAGAAAGAATCTTCAACATTCCACATATAGAAGCCTTTAGGACATTAAAGCTGAGATAAGAAAACGGGGGAAGATGAAGTGAAGTGACATACCAAAAGAGTGTTTTGAAAATGAAGCAATTGGAAAATGAAAGGATATGCTATTCTTAACATTAAAAAAATAGAACTATTCCAGCTCCCTCCTCCAGAGTGTCAAGAACTTCTGTGGAGAGATGACAATTTTACCTTTAACTGAGAGGAAGATCCTGGAGTCACCCTATTAATTATATTTCTTTAAAATTAAAGTTTAACTTAAAACTAAATATTAAGGTTCCTGCTATAGGCATGCTAATGATTTTATTCAAATCATGTTTGGATGAACAGTAAATGCGTTACCATCTTCCTCCTAGATAGTACGATCTTAATTTTCTTTAAAAAATATTAAACCTTCCTAATTAAAATCTCAGCTTTGAGGTCTAATAATATGAAGAATATTAAAGTCTTCAGTTTTAAGGAACTGTTTGATAGAGGTTACGAAAAACTCTGCAAAAACATCAACTAGATATGCAAGGAAACAAGTGCAAAAATATGCATGAAAAGTCATTATTAAGTCTTATCTGACTCAAAAAACAACTCTTTCTGTCTCTGTCCTTCTTCCCACCCCCAATCTCCCTTAGGTACATAATCAGTTTGTATTGTTTGGGGTTTAACGTGCACTTCCAGTCACGAACCTTTGGATGGAGGGAATAATCCTTCAAAGTCAACTCCAATGGTATTTCCAACATGGTGTGCATTTGGATGGGTTTCCCAGTAGAGACTTCAGGGGATCATACAGATTAGTGAAATTTCATTTAAGTGAGATACCTCTAGTGTGACAAAAGAGAGATGAAACAGATGTGCGGTAAGATGCACATACTGAGAGATTTGAAATGTATACTGAGAAGTTGGTTGAATGAACAGCAAGAAAATGTGGTCAGTAAGGTGCCATGGAGAAACGGCTGTTTTAGGAAGGCTAGTCTGACTGAGGCAGGCTTCTCGTGTCAGCCAGACTTCTGAGTCTCTGCTTGCCCTTCATTTTCTGTGCTTGCTTTCTTCTCATGCTGAGATCCTTTGAAGATTTTTAAGCTTAAATCATACTTTTCCATTTTAATTGAGTTATTTAAATGAGATTCCATAAAGTTTGGCTATGCATTTTTTTTCTCTTTTGTGATGAAACTAGAGTTTGAACTGAAGGCCTCATGCTTGCTGAACTAGTTTGCTCTGCTGGTTCTCTACTACTTAGGTCATGCCCCCTAATCCTGCTTTTTGCTGGTAATTTTGGAAATGAAATCTTACACACTTCTCTGGCCAAGCTGATTTTTAACCATGATCCTCTAAATCTCAAACTATTGAATAGATATGACTAATAGTTTGAGCTACTAGTGCCTTGCTTACAAAACCTATTTTCAGTGAAAATTTAAGGAAATCTATGATCTCCCAATACTGAAGTTTTATAAAATTTTTAAATTTGCTTGTTATTTCTAAATTATATGATACTGTTTTACAATTAGGAGGTAGAGCATTTGTTTCCTTAATCCTTAAATTATAAATAACAAAGGCTGTTATTATTGACATCTTTCATATTATAAATGATATAAAGCATATGATAAAATAATATGCTCTATAAAGCGATAATTATCAAGTGCTACAAATTGTCTAAATTAACTAGATCCCTAGTATAGTTTAAGTATCCTTATCTGAAATGCTTAAAAGCAAATGTATTTCATTTTTCAGTTTTTCAAATTTTGGATTACTATTAGAGACTTTACTACCTGCTTGTAGCTAACCTGAAAATTCAAATCAGAAATTCTTCAAAAATTGAAATTGTATCTTTTGCACCTTTAAGTAGTTTGTGCTTATCTATCCTTTATTCACCATCTTTCAATTAAAATATTTCTGCCCAGGGAGAACACACGTGGGTGTTTTGCTCATCCTTCCTCGTGTGGTTTGTTTTTGATTCTGCTCTGTCCTGCCAGCGTGTAAGGCTTATCCTTGGATCCTACCACTATAGGAGCACCTGCTCTCAGATCTGTCCCCTGCTTCCTGCCTAGGGATCATGCCTTCCAAATTCTAGTTCTGATCATTTGCATATTTAACATATTTTATTATGTTACATTAGTTTTTGTAAGTTTTATTTTAAGGGAAGACATATTTATGGGGGGTATAATACCTTGAGCAATACCAACAGCGCACCAAATGTTGTCATACCTAGCATCCATTCTTCTATGAACAGGTACTTCAAAATAACTCATCCAAATGGCTCATCTGAGACTCAAATTTGTGATAATTCATAATTAGTGGGAATGGAATGGAAAAAATAATAACATTTTGCAAAGTAATGATAGGATTTGCAAGTGTGTGAAAGAGATATAAAATCACTTTAAATTGTAGGTTATTGTGCCTATGACATCAAGTGTATGTGATATGAGCATGAAGCTAAAATACATGGATAGTGTGTAATATAGTAATACGTAAATTATTCTATTTTTCTTTGTAGGAAAGAAAGAGAATCCAACTGAGTTGAAACTACTGCTGTACTTTTTCCTGGTGAAGTAGAAGCAGCAGACATTGCAAGGACTTGCAAGAATAAAAAACTCATTGACCAACAATAATTGCCCAAAGAATTCTAGGGTTACACTTATTGTACCAATTATATAAATATTGTATAAGCACCACACAACATACTTTATTAAAAACTGAGCATGTACAAAGCATATGTAAAGGGTGTATGTGATAAATTTCTAAAGCATATAAAGATAAGCTTCAAATTAGATTTTAGGTTTGAATATAATCTAAGCTTATTCTACAAATGCCAGAGTAGCTATAGAATTCTTATGTTTATAAAATACCAACCATAATACAAGGCCACATGCACCTCTATGTTTATTGCAGCACTGTTCACAATAGCCAGGATATGGAAACAACCCAGATGCCTCACTACAGATGAATGGAACCAAAAATTGTGGTACCTATACACAATGGAATATTATGCAGCCATTAGAAAGGACAAAATAATGACATTAGCAGGGAAATGGATGGAACTAGAAGAAATCATATTGAGTGAAGTAAGCCAAGAGCAAACAGACAAATGGCACATGGTCTCCCTGAAAAGTGGATGTTAAATCCAAAAAGTAAGGTGATACAACAAAGTCAACAAGACTTGAGAAACAAAGGACCTCCACTCATTACTAATCATTACTAAAAGACCCCATACTGCTGACTGGACATATGGAATGTATGTGCACATCGGAGGGAAACTAGGAGGAGGACACAGAAACAGAGGGAAACAGGGAAAAACATACAACAGTGGGACCTATCACCTGCACTGGACATCGATCAAAATGAACTAAGCAACCCAATGGCAGGATGGGAAGGAGGGAATGAGCAGGAAAGAGGAAACAGCTGACACAAACCAAAAGGAAAGAAATGTACATATCACCCAATGTGGAAGAAATAACTGTATTGTCAAAGATCATAGAATTCATAAACTTTATAGACCACAACAAAGACAATTTGCCCCATGAAGGTTAGAATGTGTTTGTAACTTTAACTATCACTATCCCACAATACTGTGAAATTTGTGAAATTTATATAATCACTTAATAACAATAAAAATTTGCAAAAAATACCAACCATATTCTTGCTCTTCCATACATACATTATTGTTAAACTACTAGAGAATGAAGCAATGTATTCCATATGGTTTACACATATTATTAGGAACAAATATTGCATAAAGTGGCCTACCTTCTGATCATGGAGATCTTGTTTTATTAAATTATGTCCTATTAGGCAGGACTTCCTTCCATGACTTCAGAACTCAATTCTTCCTAATGGTTGGTACTGAAAAGAATTTTAAATAAAAACAAAACAGCACCTTTCCAGGAAACTATGACAGATAAGCTGACTTGATTCTATTTTAGAACAGCCATTCTGCTGACTTTTGATTTCACTTTTGATTTCTCTTATCTCATATTGGGAGGTACTCCTAAATATTGTTTTCACAGCTAGATACATACCACTGTACAGTAGAACGTGCAAACAATTCCTGTTGCAAACACAGAGCCCCAGAGATCAAACCCAGTCACTAAAAAAGGAGAAAAAAAATTAAGTTTCTGTGAAGAAGGTGAAAGAGCAAGCTTATGAGGAAAGTTTACAGTGCTTCATAGAAGGCAAGAATTTGCTCACCTCTAAGCAAGATTATGATATTACCTTTTTATTTTCTAAGCTAGTCCATACATTTAATGTAATTTTATATACTTACATTTTTTCTAAGACTTGATACCTTCCATCTTTGGTACAAATGTTGTTTTACTGCATTTTTTGTTTGCTTAAATAATTTTGAATAATCTGAACATTAATGATGAATCAACTTCTCATTATAAGCACAGAGCCTAATTAGATGGATAATGAGGACTTGAAATATGTTTAATATTATTGCACAAGTTATTTTCTTGTTTTGTCTTCTTTTATTTGTGTTTCTAGAATTAGATTCTCTTCAATGCATCAACTATACAAATTGGTGCAAGTATTACAGACACCTTTTACTCTTGGCTCAGAGTATCTAATTCATGATGTCTAGTGAAAGGGATCCTATATTAAAATGATCTGGCTTTGTGCTTATGAAAATAAAATAGCTAAGCTGCTATAATTTTGCTGATAAAACAAATCAAAAGATAATTTGAACTGCGTGTTTACTAACACACAACTTTGGTGAGGCAAAAATCAAGAAAAAAATGCATTGATTTCCAATGCTCAAGATATTTTATGCATATTTCTGTAAATTGAGAATTTAGGAACAAAAGAAGTGTCTATGCCCATTGATAACTCACCTTGATTGAGTGCCAGAGCAGGCGCGTATACCACCACCCCTGTGTAGAGAATCTAAGGTAGAAACAAAAGTGAAGAAAGAGAAATGAAAAGGGAAAACTAGAATGTTCATTCTTCGATGCTTGTAGAGATTTCTTTCTTTCAACTTCTTCAACAAACATTTCACTACTATCTACTGTAATTTTGAAGCTGTTCACTATTACAGTTAATTGCAGAGAAGATGTAAGCACTAAGTAGTGGGAGAGGGGTGGAATTTTAAAATGCTGCTGGCCTTGATTGAGATGTGGTGGCTATGTGTAGTATACTTCTAAGGGATACAAAAAAGTAAAAGCTTTTCACAATAAAAAATACTTATAAAAAAAGAAAAAGCTTCAAATTAAGCTTTAGATCTACCAGCCCTTTGCAGTTTACCCATTCAACATCATGGGCTCTATGTTGACTTCATAAGAAACTTTACTGAAGAGTAGATGCACATTTCAGCCATTTGCTGAAATTCTAAATTTAGAGTTGCTATGGGAAAGGACTGATGAGAAGAACTGTGCAAAGGAAGATTAGCAACAGAAGACACCTGCATAATGGTTGCATCTTCTAGTTCTCAGAATTATAATTGTCATGCTGATAGATATGGAGTCAGAAATCACATTATTCTCAATGGAATGCCACTATCTACAGATTGCTGAGAGGGTTTCTAAAAACCGACATTGGTAGCAGGTCAAGTAGAGTTACATTCCTTTCATCTTGCTTACATCCTTCAGGCCTGAGTGGGAGTTTAGCTTAAGAGAGAAGAAAGTTATCTTCTAGTAGAAAGTGCTTGGTGGAGAGTAGGAAATGCATGGATTGTTTGCCAGCAGCATGCTTGTGACATCATGAAGGTCCCCCAACTCCTGAAGGGTAAAGAGGTTATAAAAAGGAAGATGATGATGGTTTGATTAGGAAAACTATCACAAAGAAATGAATAGAAACCAAGAAACTTCTAGTTTAACTAAGTTTAGGGACTTAAAAATATATCCAGTCAGACATGGTGGTACATGCTTGTAATCATAGCTTTTAGCATGTGGGGACATAAATATTTGGAATTTTTATCTCCCATGCACTGGGCTACACAGTGAGATTTTTGGTCTCAAAATGTTAAAAAAAAGCTGTTATCAGACTATTCCATAGTTAAATATGGAATATGAGTTAAATACTACTAGAATATGCCTGAAGAAAGTACCTTAGTGGCTTATATTGTCTGTTTGTTATTTTTAGTCCAGGCACATGGAATCTAAGGCAATGTGGATGGCTCTCAAGATAATCACGTACTCTAAAATGCTACTTTTGGAAGAAGAAAGTGACAGTTGGTCCAGGAATTCTGTCTGTTGTTAATCCCCCCGCCCCTCCCCTCCACACATATAACAGCACTGTAACAGTATCTGGAGTCTCCTCAATGTTCACTGCGGCAGCCATTGCCCCTTACCGTCTGCACAATGTAAATGACTGTTGCTGCCATGCGGACTGGTTTGTTGAATCGTAGTTGTAAATACTAGAGGGAGCAAAGAGAAACAGGCATCAAGTGAATTTTAGGTAAAGTTATTATTGTCCTTTTATTTCTTTTGTGTATGTGTATGTATATGTATATATATACACAAAGATTTATAAATTTATACAAATATACTATACATATATTATCTTTACTTGCACAAAAGAGTTGCCATTTAACAAAGCAGTTTTGGACTTAGGAGTTTATGCAAAACATCAGGGGGAAATCATGAGTTGTTATAAGTCAAACATATCAAAACCCAAATCTCCATCTTGCTTGTCATCTTGCTTGGAGAAAAGAAAATAGTGATTATTTTAATCCAGGCCTTCTTATTTTCTGCCAATAGGAAAGATAGATGGTTGGATCCATTCTTTCTTTTCATATTTCTTCTACCCCTAATTTAGCTATGTCCTTTTTCTGCTTCTAGACCACTGCTATAAGCCCCCTATATGAGATCCCTCATACTAAGTCATGTCCATCTATTCCATTAGCAAATTTCTGACACATCAACTCTTCTATTCCATTAGCCTGTGTCTGACATGCTGATTCTTAAGAGTCTGGATCCTCACACCACTTTTTCCCTCAATATCATGGTTGAGTTCCTGAAAAGAGTACATCTCAAATTTGGTATTCCAAAACCTCTGAGGTCTGACTATACCTTTATACTATACCTATCTGCTTTCGGTCAGACTGCTACATTCACAATATTTATTCTCCACAAGAAATCATGGAGTCAAATGGACCCTTGTTTGAAACAAAGACTCTTGGCACTTCACATTAGCCTATTTTTCATCAATTGCCTTGTTAGATGCCTCACAACCGCAGGCAAAGGGTCATCATAACTCTAGGTAGGCTGGAATTCAGGGGAAGCATTCTAGTAAATACTAGAATGGAGGAACCATAAGATATTCCCACAAAGGTAAGAAAAGTAAATGAAGAGTTGAGATTTTCAAATATAAAACTGAAAGTAGTGCAAAATTGGTGGTAAACATAGATTTAGTCCCCACTGCATGCACTTGGGAAGGTCAGTTTACCCCCATCAAACTATGCACTCCTCTTTCTAACATACACACGAAAAGAATCCAAGCAAAGGGCTAGCAAGATAGTGGGATCTTTGTGAGGAACTAGCATGGCTGCAGAAGCCAAAGATCAGTGGCACTTACTGAGGACAATGACATCTACATGTATGTGATTATTGGCAAGGGTCTCATTCAGCCATGATATCGGCCAGAAGCGTAATAACTAAGTGACCTGGATAAAAAAAAAAAAACAAACTTCTATGAATTCTTTGAGAGAGACTACCCTGAGGAATATTCTATACTTTCCCCTAGAGTTCCCTCGTGGGAGCGAGTTCCTGTTATTCTTTAATGATAACCTGCTCTAAAGTGCACCTTTCATGACTTCCTTTCTTTGCAAGGCTGATTTTGTCACTTCCTTTTTCATGCTTACTGGAAGGCATAGGTGAGGACTGAAGTCAATTTTCCAAAGTGGTTTCATTCAAACACTGATATCCAAAAAGTAATAATATTCAAAATAATTTTTCTGGGGAAATTCAACTTAAGATGATGCTATGTCCAGTAGACACAATTCAAAGTGGGTTTTTAAAGTGTGTCTATGATGAGGTGTGTCCTCTTACTGAAAAAAAAAACTATTTTCCATCAGGTAATGAACACATGACAGCCAACAGAGACCAAGCATTCCATAGAGGAGCTCTCTGGTCTTTGTTCCCCTAGACTAGCAAAACTCTTGCCAGCATTCTGATGGCAGTCACATAGATGGTCCCAAGCAAGCCAACCAGAATTCTTTACTGTATTGGGGATCTAGTAGCTCTCTGCTAAATTGCTGATTCACAAAACTGTGAGCAAATACAAT